TGCACACTGCTGTCAAGTGGCCTCCTTCTCACAGGCCACAAAGCTGTGGTGCTCCTGATCGTGGATTAGCACCTCTGAAATCACGAAAAGGAAAACAAAACAAAACCCCTTTCTCTTTGTAAGTTGACTTCTCCCAGGTATTTTGCTGCGGTGACCACACTGACCCACCCCCATCCCACGTGTCTCTATGCTGGATTAAATTTGAGCCCCTTCACTTGGAGAGGAACGTGGCCCCTCCCGCCCACCCTGAATGAAGAACCAGTTTGTAGGAAGGAACGTCCAAGAAACAGTTTATTCTCAACAAGGAACGCAGACTTGACAGAGCCAGGAAATCCACTGTCCACAGGGCTGGTTCCACTCAGCTCCCACCTAGTGACTCAGCCCCATGAGAAATCCTAACGGCCCAGGGTCACAGTGAAGAGAGGGGCGGCCATTGTTTCCTGGAGGGGCAGGACGGTGCCGGATGGGGACCAGAGACCAAGTAGTGGGCAGAACACAGACTGACGTGGGCAAAGCAGGCTCCACAGAGCCCCAGTCCCAGGGAGGAAAACAAAGACTTTTTTCCTAAATAAAAATATAAAACCTTGTCATATGTTAAAATGTCCCTTAAGAATCTAAGGATGACCTGGACGGCCCCAAGGATAGATTTATCTCATGTAAAAACGAAAAATGGGAACCCCATAAAAAAGTAAAACAATCAAACTCTGCAGGGCGTATGGACATCAAAGCCTCAGGGAGAAAACGCAAAGAATCCCAAAGGTGAGCCAGGCTGGACCCGCAGAAAACCACCCGGCCCACCCAGCCTGCACCAGGTCTCTCCAAATGACGATGGGGCTGCACTGACATGGATGATGGTGATCACAATGGTGGAGTCCAGTGGGTCGTCCACTGTGCCGGGCCTGTCACGTGCAGGACCCCGCTATTGGTCCTTTTATTCCATTTTAAAGTGAGGAGACTGGCGCTCGGGTGATCATGTGCCTGGCCTGCGATCTTCTGGTTGGCCAGCAGCAGGGCTGGAATCTGCAGGCCAGCCTGACCATGCTCCAGCCTTCACTGCCAAGCCTCAGCATCTCCCAGGTCCGGGCAGGCTGCCCCTGACTAGGCCAGAAAGCAGTCTTTAGCAAAAACTTTCCTTTAGCACAGACTTTCCAAACATGCACAATTCCTAATACTGCAACAGGAAGCTGCCCATCAGGGCTGGTCAGGTACCCACGAGCCCGTCTACAGCCCCCCTGGGAAGGAAGATGTGGGTGTATGAGGGGGTGGGAGTTCTGTGGCCGGGCTGAGTTTTGGGGGAGCCTGGTTGACACTGTGGGAGTAAATGCTGACCAGTGACCTGACTTCAGCAAAGGGCATTCAGAGGGGGCGGGGAGGAGGGAGTGAGACTGCTGAAGTTAGAGGTGGGAGGGTCTTCTGTGAACCCGGGAGGAGCACGGTGACCATGGGGACCAGGCTGGTCTGCACGGTTCCAGAAGGCAGGGCGTCTGTGGCCAGCCGAGGATGTGAATGGAGACACGACAGGGTTGCTCCAGGATTTGGGAGTAGAGTTGCCATAGGAGGGTGAATGCGTCCAGCATTTACGCTGTCCTCAGGGATGCTGTCTTCCAGAGTGCCATCTGACAAGCCAGGATGGGCCCAACTGCAAGGTCGCAATGGTCTCATTGCTTTGGGGAATGGAAGTGCACATCAAAGATGAGATTATACGTTGTGTGTACAGACAACTTTACAAATGCCTAAGGTCTTGCATGTCTGTTATCCAACTGGATTCTCACAATGACCTTGTATCTGGAGGTGGGGCAGAGAGCTGTTTGACCCCTTTGGCAGATTCAGAAAACTGAGGCACAGAAGATGTGACTTGTCCAAGGTCACACAGCAAATCAGTGGGACGCAGGGACCAGAACCCAGACTTTCCAGCTCTAAGTCCAGGTCTCTTTCTGTATCTGATGTTTTCAGGGTGAGATGGGGACTGTCTTAGCACAGAATGGGGCTCTGGGTGGCCAGGGCAGAGGCGCCTGTGGCCCACTGGGCACCTGCAGGTGGAAGCTTAGCTGCTGCAGCCCCGGGAGCAGGCGTGGGCCAGGATGTTGTTGTTGCACCCGTCCTGGAGCTTACTCTGGGTCTGACTCACAGCTCGGCCTTCCGTGTCCAACATCTGGCCGCCTGGTCCCTGCTGCCGCCTGAGCCTGCAAACAAGAACAGCGTGGAGCTGCATTAGTGTTGAGGAGCTGGGGTGCAGCCGCAGGTTCAGGGGAGGCACCTGGGCAAGCACAGCCTTGGGCCCGCCTTCCTGCGAGGGGGGCAGGATGCTGTGCTCCACATGCCCTGTGACCTGCTGAACGCACAGAGCCTCGGCTTCTCTGTCTGAAATGGAGATGATAATCCCCATCTCTCAGCTCCCCGTGAAGAATACAGAGGCTACATAGAAATTCACCCAGTTCACAGCCAGCAAGGTGCTGGGTGAGCCCCCCAGCATGGTTCAGGGTGCCCCCGTCATGCCTGGGAGCGGGTGTACCCTGGCAAGCCAAATAGCCAGGATCCCCGTCTTCACAGGGTGTAGTCTAAAGGGGGAGATGGTCACTAATCAAACAATCCCACAAGTAAATATCAAACAGTCAAACATGGACAGACAAAACATCCCGGGGTAATGTCAGGGACTGGATTCTGAACCCTGCATTTCTTCGCAGCTGGCCACCTGGCCATCGTCCGTGTATCTCAACATCCCTCCCTTTTTGATCTTCAAGTTCAGGTTCATCCTCTCCTGTACCACAGCTGCCACTGTCTGTGATTGGTGCAGGCCAGAGACAGAGTTGAGCCCTTCCCGGGGGCAGTGAGGGATTTTAGAATGTCCCTCAACACCCGCTACTTGGGTCACATGGCTCAAGTTGTTGAGCTTCGTCTGAGCCTCAGTGTCCTCGTCTGAAGGTGGAGATTCTACTGGGGACTTGGCGGGAGGCTGGGGGTCGCAGAGCGTGTGCGAAGGGTCTCAATAGGGCTGGGAATGACACAGATGGCTCCTAGTTCTACCTTGTTGTTCCGCTGAGAGCAGCCTGACCTGACACTAGCGGGCTTCTGCCAGTCGGCCCAGAGCAGGCTGTCAGTTACCGCTGTCCTCATGAAACTGATGTCAGCTTACGCAGCAAGTGTCTGTGTGTGCTTGTCACTTGCAGGGCACTGTGAGTGACCTCAGGACAAGCGCAGCACAGCCCGTGCCTTGGGTGGCCACAGCTGTGCCTGTGAACGTGTGTGACAGTGTTGAGCAGAGCGTCTGTGACAGCGTAGGTCTTGGAGTGCGTCCTTTAGGTGACACAGAAGCACCAGGGGCAACACTGTCTCACAGGCCATGAGTTGTGGCTCCTGTCCCTTGCTCTGTCCCCACAAGGCCTGGGATGGGGGTCTGTTCCTCTGCTCCGGCAGCTCCTCAGGCAGGATGGCTGGCAAGTGGCCATGGCTAAGGCCCATCATCCTGGAGCAGGGGGCAGGACCCAGAGGACAGGACTGGGATGTGAGGCAGGGCCTCCTGGTCTGGCTCACAAGGTGATGCTGCAGAGTTCTCTGCACATGAAGGACAAATGAGCCCCATGGAGACGGTCTTTTAAGTGCCCAGTCCTGGTGTTTGGGTGTTTTAGTATAGCAGGGCATGCCTACACAGCTCGTGTGGGGGGCCAGCGTGGCCCCCTCCAGACACAAGCTTCAGTAGTTATTACAAGACAGAGTCGAGATAGTGACACGGGGGCCCGTGAGTGTCAGGTGGGCTCTGACATCTCGTGGGGCTCAGGAGAGACCTTCTGCAGGAGACAGCACTTGAGGTGGCCTTCAGACACTAGATGGGCTTGTGATTGACCCGGTGGGTGAGTGAGGGGACATGAAGGCCAAGGCTGGGAAAGTGAAAGTAAGGACCAGGCCCTCCCGAGAGCTCGGGGCTTCAGCCATCCTCTGGGCCAGAGCTATCAGGAGGAGCAGTGGAGTCACTGAGAGCCGGGGGAGTGGGCCAAGTGCAGGAGCTCAATGACGGGGGTCAGGTCCTTGCAGCTCAGTTCCAGGCTCCTGTCCGAGCAAGAGACATAATCAAGAAAGATACCCCCCTGTTGTGGACCTGGAACGTCTCCAAAGGCTCATTCAACTCAAGACTTGGTCCCCTGAGCAGCAGTGTTCAGGGATGGGGTGTTGGATGGTGATTGGATCAGGAGGGCTCTGACCTCATCAGTGATTGACCCTTTGAAGGATCCGTGGCTCCGTGGATTACTGGGCCGTGGCTGTAACTGGGTGGTGGACCTGGCTGAGGGAGTGGGTCTTCCCCTTTCTCTTGCACTCTGCCCCCAGAAGCTATGAAGTGCGCAGCTTGGCCCCACCATGGTCTTTTCCACGCTCTGAAGGAATTAGAAAAGCTCACGCTGCAAATGGGGATTTGTGAACCAAGACAAAGGCCCAAATCCATCACCCTGCACCAAGTGCTCACTTAGAGGACGCGCCTGCAGCCCAGGAATCTGACTCTGGAGGAAGTGGGGAGATTTTACACACACTACCAGTGGTAGCTCAATTCCATTCATGCAAATTGGCTGGTTATCTCCACAATGACAGGAACATTTAATTTATCAGGGAACTTATCAGATTAATCGTCATCTTTGTGACCAGAATCCTGAGTGATGGGTATGAGCGCCCTCCACCTCTGAACTCCAGCACTAAATGCCTGGGGGAAGTGCTCTGGGGGAGGACCCCGCTCAGCAGAGGGGCTCCGCAGGAGGACACGTTGCAGTTGGTAATGATCCAGGCTCGAGGCAGTTTGCAAAAGCGAAGCCCCACAGAGGAGAACAAGAGAATCAATACTGGCAAGCAAACCAATCTCCACGCTCTGACCACGCCAGGACGGGTCCAGCTCAGCGCCACATCGTTCTTAGGCAACCAGCCACAGGTGAGGCCCCACCTCCCATTTGAGAGAGGCCGGCTTCTTTGTATGTTGCAGTTTAAAAGGCGAAAGTGTTTTGCAATGCTCTCCCGTGACCCACGTCACCGGCTGGTCTCACCTGACCCTGTGGTGTTGGGTGGAGGGCTGGAGGGAAGAGCAGAGTCCCGGCTCCGGCCAGGAGCTTGCCCTCTCCTCCAGCCTCTCTCCTCATCTGTACCCAGGGGACAACTGAGTCTCCTCAAAGAGAAACTGAGGGTCAGTGAGGCCTCCTCCTGACACGGCACCGATGACCCCCCGCCCCCAGCTGGGTCTGTAGGCCTCATCCTGGACGGGGGTCAGGGCAGAAGCCCCTGAGGAGTGGTGGGTACCGATGGAACACGCAGGAGTGGATAGGAGATCAGGACCCAGGGTGGACGAAACAGAGCAGCAGGCTGAGGGGGGAGTCCAGCCCCCGGGATCTCGGGGAGCCAGAGGGGTCCTGTTATGGTGAGATAATGCAAGAAGGTTCGGAGGTGGAAGGACTGGGTCAGGAGAGCCGTGACCTAATCGATTCCTGATGGGGATTAACGGCGTGTAACTGTGGGCAGGTAGGTGTGGCTGGAGGGGGCCTCACCAGGGACCTGCCTTGGGGGTATGCATTTCATCCCTCATGAGCGGAGTCTCTCTGCTCCCTGGAGGCCAGTCCTGACCTGCCTTCCCCCACCACCTCTTCTGCCATGATGCTCTGCCTCACCTGAGGCCCAGAGCCATGGAGCCGGCCCTGCAGGGACGGAGACCCCTGAGACTGTGAGTCCCAGCTGAGCTCTGCCCCTCTGTGCTGTTGTCATCAGGTCTTTTGGTCACAGCAGTGAACAGGCTGATTAAAAGGCCCACAAGCCGGGAACCAGGGTGTGGACCCAGCACCTAGAATCGACTTCTGTCTGTTTCAGGTCCCTCTTCCACTGGGCAGAGCCACAGAGTGCCATCTGAGGCCTCACAGCCCCAGCATGGTGACCAGCCGGGGCAAGTGCCCAGCAAGGTATGCTGGAGGGATGGGGGTAGGTAAAGGCATTGGCGGACAGCCTGCGCCTCACCCTCATGGCAGCAGTGTGCCCAGGCTAGGGGGCTGTCTCAGCATCCCCAGGGGAAAGGAGGTGGCTGTGATTAACCTGAGTACGCAGGGCATCCTAGCGGGACAGGAATCGGGTTGCCAAGCTGGCAGCCCTGGTGGACTTTGGACGGTGTGAGCTCATGTGCCCTCGTGGCTGAAGGAGTCGGGACACGTACCCCTGGTCTTCAACAAATGAAAACAGTGTTTGACGCAGTGCTTACTGAGTGGCAGTGTAAGTCTGTACCTTAATCATTAGCAAACTCTCCTGCCGTGCTCACGATCCCATAGGACGAGGGGTCCAGTCGTTCCTCCTACAGGGCTCCTGGGCAGTAGGTCTCAACGCCCTGCTATCGTTTGGACCTGGAGTGACCCCCGAGGCTCATGTGTTGAAGGTTCGGTCCCCAGGGCAACAATGTCCAGAGAAAGGGCTTTGGGAGGTGATTGGATCACGAAGGCTCTGACTCCCTCAGTGGATTAATCCTGTGATGGTTCATGGCTGAGTGGACTGCGGGAGGTAGGGGAACTGTAGGAGGGGGACTTAGTTGTGGGGAGTGGGTCCTTGGTGGCTCTATTTGTCCCTGGACCCTTATCTCCACCCCTCACCCCCTGTCTCTCTCCCTCTCTGCTTCCTGGCAAAGCCATGTGGCCAGCCGTCTGAGCCCCCACATCCACCGTGATGGAAATGGTCCTCTGTAAGTAAATTCCACTTAGTGTTTCCTAAGGGGCTCTGAGGGGCACAACATCCTTCTAGTCCCTGATGAGATTTCTCTTCCTAAAGTAAACTCCATACGACTCCCTGTTTCCCTTTGAGGCTCCTCATTTACTGGGATGATCACCTGGTAGCAATTCTTATCTCATAAATTCAATAAGAGCCCTTGGCCAGAAGCTGTAGGATTCTGTCTGCTTTATCCTGTGTGGCCTGAAGCAATATGTATTTGAAGAAGCCTTTGCAGGAAGCCAGCTGAACTGTGGGTGGGGGTGTGAGGTGGCAGAGCAGGGTTTGGTCGGAGTCTCCCTCACTCTGCCCCTTTGCTAATGAGATCCGCTCTGGAGAAAGGAAGGAGTGGCAGAGATGGGTTCTGAGTAGCCAGGGCTGGTTCTGTTGGCATCTACCCACCGGGATCAGGAGGAACAGCGCCCACCCAAGGGGGAGAAAGGGACCAGAAATGATAACTGGTTGTAGGTCACAGAGCGTTATAGAGGTGCCCTGGATTTGAATGCAGGACCCTGCGGTTCCTGTCTTCCTGGCTAAGCACCCCTCCCCATGATCCTTCCTGGCCACTGTCACCAGCAGACTCCTCTAGACTCAGGGGTGAGGCTGAGCTGCTGTGTGTCTGCTGGGGTAAGGGTGGTACTTGCTGGGTCCTCTCGACACGGGGAGGACACAGGAAGGGCCTGCACTGGGGGCTGATGGGTCGGTGGCCAATAGTTCCACTGGGCTGCCCCTCTTGGCACGTGGCAGGGTGACACTTCCCAGCTTCCCTGGGGTTGGGTGGGGCCATGTGACTGGTTGTGCCTGGGCGTGAATTGCAGTGTGTAGTGCTCCTGGGGGGCTGAGCATTTAACCAGCTGTGCCAGCCTCTCCGGGGACCCTGCCCTGCTCCTGATGCCTGCCATGCTGCAGGTGCTCACGGGAGTGAGGAGAGGAGGTGGCGGAGCCGGCGGAGCAGCACCCCCGCTGAGCTCCAGGAGGGACAGTGTGTGCAGGAAACAGAACTGAGGATGAGATGGTGTTGTGTGGTGAGTGGAACCCAAAGCGACCTCCGGCCGGTCCCTCCCAATGTCAACACACACTTGCAAATCCAGGCGGCAAGGAGGATTAACTGTGGAGCAAGTGAAATTGATCTCAAGCCCAGGGCACGGCATTCGGCAGCTTTCAACACTCAAGAATCATGGTGAGCTTTGTCCGTGTACTGTTCATTTTCTTTTTCATCTTTTATTGGCTGCAACGAACACGTCAGGATCAGCCAACCTCTTGAAACTGGGCTGCGATTTTCTCTGATTGAAACCTGAGCGAACCTGACACGGCCCTCATTTCCCATGCAATTTCTTGATTTCAAGTTTTGGCTGCACCATGAAGAGCCTGTGGACTGAGCAGCCTTGTGGCCGCCTTCACTCCCACCTGAAGGCCCTTCTGCCAGTTGCAGGTCTATGAGCTGATTGTCCCAGGCCACTTCCCCTCCTGTGGGTGCAGGTCTGGGGCCCAGCCTCCCTCCCCACCTGTACCTGGTGGGGAGAACATCTTCCGGGCTCATCTGAGGTTCCCAGCCACCATTCAAGTCAGAATCGTGTTTTTATCAGTTTCACTCCCTGAGAAACAGGAATTAAATACCCACGGATAGACCTGGGGGAGGATGGAAGGAGGAAGGGGCTGCAGATGCCTCCCGAGGCCCAGCTCACTGAGGTGGCGCTACCTCTGCATCCTCACCCAGACAGCAAGGTCTGGGCCGCCCTGTTTAGCCCCAGACTGGGAGGAGCCTCTGTGTGACAGGCTTGAATTCAGAAACCTGGGCTTTTTATGTTCGCTGTGTCCCGGCAATGGACGGGGTTTGAGAGGCTTGTGCCAAGGGCTTTTCCCACTTCACAAGCCAATCTGCAAAACACAAGGAATTGGGTCTCCCTTTCTCACTGTTGAGGCTGGTGATGAGATCAAAGAAATGTCAACGCACTTTGCAAATGGCACAGGGCTTGGTGGAGTCTAGGAGCCATTGATAGCAGCCCATCTTGCTGGCACAGAAGGGGAACCTGAGGCTCAGAGAGGCTTGGGACCTCACCAGGTCACAGCACCCTGAGAAGCAAGACCAGGGTCTGCCCCAGTCCATCAGGTTCCCAAGCCCCAGAGGAGTCCCACTCCTCAATCATCCTACCACGATCGGTACAATCCACAGCCAAGAACTGACCACAGGAGATGGCAGATTTCAGGAGTAGCAAGATTGAGAAGCCCAGGATTAAAGGACACGACCTAAAACCATAAAATCACATAAGGATGTCGATTGCTGTTAATATCAATAGAATTAAGTGTGTTAAATGCAGAGTTTTAAGGTGTAATAATATCCTTGCGGGTTCCAGAGGCAACTTTAAGGAGATTTTAAATTTGCCGTTTCCTTAGGAGTAAGAAGGACAGAAACTTTGGCTACCTACACCCCCTTTTCATCAGGGCCTTCTTATTCTGAGAAACTCTATCAAATGCTGCTGAACAAACCTCTTGGAAAAGTCATCCCTGCTCAGATCCTTGGCTAAAAAGAAGGGGACAAGCCCCACTGTGCATTTCTCAAAATAAAGGAGCTTAGCCGGTCCCTGGAAGCAGGTGCTCCACCTGGCTTATGGCCTTTTGCTGGTTGAGACCAGTAGCCAATAATAAGCTGCTTTTGCAGGACACCGGGCAGAACTGATTTTAATTTTGCTCTCTGTGTAGAAACTAAGGTCCAAAGAGGGTAGGCCCAGGACACTTCCTGTGTCCCTGCAGCAGGCGCTGGTGACTGTGCCCTGGCAGCCTGCAAGGCTTAGTATTGCTCTGCCCATAGGCTGTGGGCATCCTGAGGACCTGGGTCACTTCTGCATCTTCAGGGACCAGTCCAGGATTATGGTGTGTCTGTCAAGTGACTGAATGCGTCTCCTGCAGGGGCTGGTGTGGTGACGGTCTCCCCAGTGCCCTGGCCCTCAGGGTTTATGCAGATGGCGGCTTGTTCACTGTGGCGGGAGCTGCAGGGACCTTCTCTTTGCCAAGGGCCTTTTCCAGCTGAGGAAGCAGGCAGACCTGCACCATGCAGGAGACAGCAAGTCACACAAAGTAAGCCCACTAGTGTCCTTCAGCCAGGGAGGGAGGGCCAGGCGTTGCACATGGATACTCTGGGGTAGGGGACAAGGGCTGGGAGGGTCTGCAGTGTTAGGAGATCCTATGACTCAACTTAGCACCAAACAGAAGCTGCTCAGTTGGGCACAGTGCTGTCCTGCAGACAAGGCTCTCAGGTGTCAGAATGAACAGAGCATGTTCAAAAGAAGGTCCAGGCCTCCTCTGTCCACTTCTGGTTCAGAAGGTGTGGACCAGGGTGCTGTGTTAGGGGCAGGACACCACCAACTAGGGGCTTAAAGCAATCGAAAGCTCTTCCACAGCTCTGGAGGCCAGAGACACACACCAGGGTGCAGTGGGCTGGCTCCTGCAGGGAGGGCTGTGAGGGAGAGCCTGGTCCTGCTTCTCCGGCTGCTGGTGGCTGCTGGCCTCTGGGCTGCAGACCCACCACTCAGTCCCCGCCTTCCTCCCCACATGGCCTTCTCACGGGTCTGGGTCTCTTCTCCTATTAGGACACCAGCCATGTTGGAGTCAGGGCCCTTCCTACTCCACAACAGCTTCATCCTAACTCATTACATCTGCCATGACCCTATTTCCAAATAAGGTCACATTCACTGGTGCTGGGGCTTAGGACTTCAGCACATCTCTTTTGGGGTACACAATACAACCTATACCAGCTGCACAACTATAAGGTCACCCCAGATGATTCTGACAGGGGCTCCTGGGCCCATGGTGCCCTCCACAGAAGAGGCCTGCACCTGCTGCACGTGGGCAGGGGCAGTCTGTGGAGGCCAACGGCCAGGTCTGCAGAGAAAGAAAGAAGATTGACCCACAGGGCCCAGGCTTGGTCCACAAGCCAGGCTCCGGGCTCAGCATGCCCGGATATCTCCTCCCACACGGCACAGGGAGGATGTTGGGAAGAAGGGCCTTGGTTTAATTTTTTGGATACTTAAGTGCCAACACAGCAGGTGCTCAAACAAGGGATTGAGAGAGAAGAGGAGGACACACGGTCCCACGTTTTCCTTGGTTTCAGGCAGCTTGTGCATCATGATCGACTTTTTTACACTGGAGAAACTGGGGCAGGGCGTGCTGTGGGGAGGAGATGTGTCTCCCATGTGACGAGGCAGGATGGGATCTGCCAGGGAGGGGGGTCGAGATGCTTGGGCTGAGTCTTGAGGGGACAAGGCCAGGCCCTCCCACCTGAGTATCTTCATACCGCAGGTGAGCAGAGGCACCCCTGCCCTGGCAGCCGCCCCGGGAGCAGCCAGGTACGCAGCGAGGCGGACACAGGAGCAGGACGGCAGTCCCGACTCACTGGTGCCCTCTGGCCACCTCATCCATGCTGCCTGTGTGTGCCAACGCCGTTCTCGACGCCCCTCTGTTTGGAAAATGACTCCTACTCTCTTCCTTGACTTTGCCAGCGCCTGCAGTCGGTGCCAGCCTCACTGCAGAGCCATGACCGCAAGTCTCCAAGGGCCGCTCGGCACACCGGGCAAGTCCACGTTTTCCTAATCGATTTCCCTCTCCACGTCGGTGGTGGGGGGGAGCATTGAATTGGGTGAAGCTAAAAGCAGCCAGACTCAACCCCTAAATGACCCCAGGGGAGGAGCCCATTCCCATTTGCTTTCAGAGGGACACACTGTGGAATCCAAATTGAAGCATCTTCTGGGACACAGCAAAACGCCAAATGCTCTTGCTGCCGGCTCGGGCTCTGCTCTGCTCAGCCTTCGCGGGCTCCCATTGCCAGCCGGGCACTCTAGGTGCAGCTGGGCCATTCAGAGCAGATGCCTGACCCAGGAGGCTGCCTGAGCCAGCGGTCACAGACAGTTTCTGAGCTGAAGCTCCTGGGCCCGGTTGTCTAGGGCTGGACTGCCCAGGATCTGCAGTGGCCCGTCACTATGCATGGTGTCACTCCCCTTCTGCAGACCTCACTGGGAGCAGACCCTGCCCTGCCCTGTCCTTCACCTCCCTGCCCCCTTTGGGAACTCAAGCGCCTGCCCATCGGCAGGTCCCCACCTGCCCTGCAGCCTCCCTTCTCTGTGGCTTGTCCCCGTGTCTCACCTGGATGTCTTTCCCCTCTGCCTTGCTCAGACTCAGGTGGGCACAGTCCCCCCAGAAGCTTCCCTGATCCCCAGGCTGGGCCGGCACCTGTGTGGAAGCCACAGCCCAGGGCTGCCTTTCCTGTCAATGACCCCTGTGCTGCTGTCATCTGTTGAAAATGGATGGACCCTCCTGGAGGGGAGGGGGCGCCACTGAGCTCTCTCTGTCAGCCCTGGGCCTGGGTCAGTTGGGTCCCCTGGGGTGTCCCTCCCATGCCTCTGCTCTGACAAACCGGCCTCTGGCTCTTGAGCCCCCAGATCTTAACACCAGCTGGGCCCAAATCTGCGTCCTCCACCTCCTTGGCTGAGCAGCTCCTGGGGGACATGCCCGGGGCCTCAGGGCAGCCTTCACTGACCATGGTTCTCCCAGGAGGGTGTGGCCGAGCTGAAAGGCTCTGCCGGGCTCAGTGTGGACTTACTTCTCTCTGTTGAATATGATGAATTCCTTCCGCACTGTCTCCAAGCACTGCTGCAGGTGTCCATTCTGTCAGAGAGCACAGAGAGGTGACTGAGCATGGAGCACTGTCCAGGGACAGGCGGCAAGGGACACAAAGGAAGGAACAGGAGCTTCAGGTCTGGCCATGCGGGGCCCAGCCCAGCGCCTGGGGAGGTGCGGACTGCGTGGGCGGCTGCTTCTGAGGGGGGATGGCAGACAAGGGTTTTTCTCAGTTTTCAGCTTCACATCCCCCCAAACGCCACGTTACAGGACGATGGATCCCAAGCCTGTGGGTGTTCACTGGGCCTACGTGAGAGGAGCATGGGGAGAAGAAGTACAAGACCGCGGTGCCAGGGGCTGGGGCCAGGAGAATCCTAGGGCTCCCCAGGAGCAGATGCCAGGACCCCCCACACCACAAATGCTCGCTGACACTGTCCCCGAGGCCCCCAAAGCCACACACTGATGCAGGTGGCGTGGGAAGCTCGCTCCCCTCTTGTGCTCCTCGCGCTCGCAGGGCAGGGGGCTCTGTCTCTGCAACACACACAGCTGCTCAGGGCCGAGGGCCCCGAGACTTCAGAGGGGACGAAGGTGTTTATTTTCTTTTAAAATCAGAGGGAAACAAGGAACCTTGGCATCACAGTTCATATTCATCTTGATATCAATGCTTTAAAACCAAACCAGATTCTTTATAGGGGAAGGGGCTGTTGAGGGTCAAAATGCATCCCACCAAATAGGCTCCAGTCCTGAGCCCTGGTACTTGTGCACTCGGCCTCTCTGAAACGGGATCTTGCTGGTGTGATCCAGTTGGTGACTGAGAGTGGGTTAGGGTGGGTCCTAAAACCAGTGACTGGTGTCCTTCTGTGAGAGCCATGTGGAGACACAGGGACACAGAAAGAAGGGGAGGTGAGGATGGAGGAGGGGTCCCCGCGGCTGCAGGGCAGGGACACAGGATACCCAGCTGCTTAAGCTTGGAAGGGCAGGAGGCCCGCCCCTGCCCCTCGCTCGGCACTCTCCCCCAGCCCTGGGGACACTCCTGAAGCACTCACCAGGGGGCAGCTGTCCTTGGTGCCGTCTTTGGACCTGTGCTTTGCCAACCTCTTCTTCTTTTTGTGAAGGGGCTTGGATTCTAGAATCATCTCTTCAAGTTCAAACGTGGGGTCACAGTTCAACCTCCCTTTCTGAAGTGGGAAGAAAACAGGTCACCAGGCTGCGCTGTGACGGGCGCTCCCCTACCCCTGTTCTCTCAGGAGCCATGTCAGACACCCTCTTCCCAGGATGAACGGGACTCTTCCGCCCCTCGCTGTCCCATTAGCTTTCCTGATTCACCCCTGTGCATGGTTTTCATGAGAGTGAGCTCAGTTTTCCAATCTGATCTTCTCCACTGATTAATTCATCACATACACATTCTCATGTCATTTTTATCTTTTTCTAGAAATACATTAATTCTATAAGTATTATAAACCATTTTATAATCATTATGATAGTTTTCATTATTTCATTTAAAATGCCATCCATGATTGACATCTGCCCCGCTCCCTGTCCTGGTTGCCTGTCCCCCACACTGGAGCCCTCGAGCCCTGACTTGAAGGCCTCAGACCCATTTCCCTAGAAGTCATTCTCTGTCCTAAGACCCATCCTGGGTGACTGGCCCAGGATGCCAGTCCCCCTAGCAATGTGGTCAGCGGCTATGACATCTGCAGCCCCAGAGTCACGTAGGGAAGACCCCCAGAGCTGCTGCTTTTTGACTTTGAACGGGTTTCACGCCTGCCCGGGGACTCCGCCCCTGGCCTGCAGTTGGACAGCCAGCCCTCCCTTGGGTTCTGGGCAGTCGCCTCCAGGAAGGACTTGAGGTGGGCCAGGCGTGGAGCCAGTCCTCCCTGCTTGGGTGTTCCTGGACGTTAGGACCCAGGCTGCTGTGACCGGGCCAAGAGGAGCAAGGCCAGCACAGCCCCAGGGTCCGCCTGCCTGGCCTCGCTGGGTGACTGGGAAGACCCCTAACCCTCGGCCTCTACCTCTACCCGTGTGAACTGCGGAGGCTCAGAGGCTGCCCAGGGCTCACTGAGATGGCGCTTGCCAAGCTTCCAGCAGAGCAGCTGCCTGACCGTCAATAACCGCCCTCCTGCTGCTTCACAGGTCCCCTGCTCCTCCCTGGACCCCAGCTCACTAGCCCGTCGCCCACCTGCCATCAGGCTGCCTCACTGGCTTGGTGCCCTCAGGGCCCGGGTGGTGGCCTGAAAGCAGGAGGCGGAAGGGCCTTTGCAGACAGAACTGGGGCAAGTGCTGGCCCTGCCCCCTCTCTGAAGGTCACTGACCCCTTCTGGGCTGAAGAATGAGGGAGGCGATGCGGGCCTTATGCATCTGCCTGAGAGGCCCAGACGAGCTCTTGGGCCCTGCACGCGACCGTCCTTGTTATCGTCAGCTTCCTTCTCAGTCCCAGGAGCCGGGCTACCTTTCCATGGGACCTTCAGTGAGACCCTGTGGATCCCCCAGTGCTGGGGGCTCCCCTCCGCTTGGGGCCTGGGGCTCCCTCCATCATCACCAACTTCTGGCACATGCTGAGCCCCTGTCCCTGATTGCACGCACCCATCCTCCTACACGTGCCCTCTCCCAGGGAACAGCTTCACTCGGGCCTGCTCTCTCCTGGCCTGTTTGTCTGCCGTCCGTCTGTTCACGCATCCACACCTGTGCAGCCCAGGGCCACCCTGGACAGGTGACTTACCCTCACCCAGATCACCCCTGGGATGCACTGCCCAGTGGCCTGAGGCTTCCTGAACACAGGCAAAGCTCAGAACAAGGCCTGGCACAGAGGGCATCTCAGTGGCTGCATCACCCACTCGTTCACCCTCAAGGCAAGCACACACAAGGTCTGGAAAATGGAAGCTGTTCTCACTGACCAGTGGGCCATCACCTCTGGAAGCACAGACGTTGTCACATCACATGCAGACACACTCACACACACACACACTCAGACACGTTCACACAGACGCAGACACAGAGTGAGCCAAACAACACCTGAACTTTCCCAGGAAGATCAGTGGGGCAGGACCTGCAAACCACTCCGTGTTAGCCTGTCCTGGCCCAGCCGAGGGGCGGGGAGCCAGGGAGCCCTCAGGCTGCCCTGGGGCCTGGGGAAGGGCTGGCCTGCTTAAGGACAAGCAGTTGTGCAAGGCAGGGACGGGACACCTGCTTGTTGGGAGAAGGCAGAGGCCCAGGCGGGCTTTGTCCTAGAGGCTTCCTCTGGAACGCTGGGCAGGCCATGGAGGAGCCGACTTCTGAAACCTGAGCCTACGTCGCAACACGTTTGTGTGAAGGGAACTGGAAGCCCTGGACTCGGGGAAACTGATTTGGAGAAACATTGCGCATTGTCATTACCCTATCATCATCGTCGTCGTCGTCTTGCTATTTTGCAGTGCTAGGGATCGAATGGGAGACATTAGGGGCAAACCTCCCCGGCACGGCTGATGTCCCCTCAGTTCACTTCCGGTCACTTTCCCTGTGGTTTTATTCTGCTGCAGCTATAAAATCTTTGAACTGTTCTTTGAAACCTGGGCTTTCTGCCACCTCCAGGTGCGTCATCCTGGTGGCCCCGCTGCCCGGGAGTCTCAGGACCCTCGCGTGCCTGGCTCCTCTTTCATTCAGCTCTCTGCCAAGCGGCCCCGCCTCCTCACCTCCCCTGCACCTCTCCCCTCCTGGCCTTGGCGGGTTTTGCAGGCTCACTGGCGGGCAGGCCCGTCTCTCTTCCTGTACGAGACAGTCCACGCAGGAAGGACAGCAGACCGGCCGCTCCCCCAGTGCCTGCCTGCACCCCTGTGGTATGTGAGGAAAGAGGCTCAGCAGACCTTGAACTCCAGGCTCAAGTCCACCCTGAATCCCAGCAAAACGTGAGCCCATTGGTGCTCCAGTGGCCGTGGCCAGCTGCAGGGGTCATGCTTAGTGCCACAGTGGGGACCTCTGAGGGGAAGTGTGACGTCAACGGGACCCCCACTCACATTGGGTACAAAGCCGGGTGTCAGCGCCTTCTTGAACACTGCGTCCCAGTTCATGTCAGCCAGGTAGGGTGCGCTCTGAACGTCACTGAGGCTGGACAGGCGGCTCTCGGGGTCCTTGGTCAGGAGCTGTGGTCAGGGGGCAAATGTGCTTCCTTGAACTGTGTGTCCATAGAGGCGAGCAAGGACTCAGAGGGTGGGGGTGTCACCTGGGGACCATCAAGCACGAGGTCTCCGGCTTGTCATGCCCATCAGTGTCCTGCCCTGTCTGGACTGCAGTGGCAGCACCAGCTACACGCCCCTCCCATAGCCAGGGAGGACAGCCAGGCCAGGCAGCTTCTGCAGGTCGTGGGCTGGGGGCTGTGGGCAGGGGGCTATGGGGCAGGCCCAGATTCCCAGCCTCCACACTCCTTTCTGGGACTAAGTACCCACAGGCCTCCTCTCCCGGACGCCTGCAGACTTCCCGTCAGAGACAAGGAGGGCACCAGCCTTGACCTAGGACTTCAACCTGGTAAAGGAAGGTGCATTTCTCCCTGGATACCTACGAGGTGACCCAGGGGGGTGGCCCTGTGTACAGCCAAGGGGACTGTTTCTAGCTTCTCTTCAGATGGACTTTCTGCTAGTAAGGGAGAGGCAGCTCGACACGCTCAGAGGCTCCCCCTCAGCTCCAGGTGGGGCTTTCCAAGTGCTCTGGGTCACAGGTACATGGGGCACAGGGCTAGAGGTAAAAGAGCAGGGCCCTATCCCTGGGATGCCACTGAAGGGCCAGGTGGCCTCAGTGAGGTGCTGATGCTCTGCACCTGTTTTCTCGTCAAAGCAGGAGAACGTGGCAGACCCTCCACGCCAGTCCCTCCACGTCAGTCCCTCCATGCCAGCCGAAGGTCAGGGTGAGACCCCATGGTTGGCCAGGACCTGGTATGTGTCTGGGGAACTGTCTGCAGGTGGGAGCCAGAAGTCGGACCCCTCCCCACACCACCAGTTCACTGCCATTTGTCACCTGTCATTGCAGAAGTGTCCCAGCTATGGCTGCTGGGTAGGCTGCTGCCACACCACCTGAAGCCACCTGGCGGGGGTTGTATCTGCTGGTCACAGTGGCTCTGTTTAGGGGCTGTCCCCAGAGGATGGGTAGAGGTTTAAGCAGGCTCCATCTCAGTGCTCTCCGGAGTCCACCGTCTAGAGCAGCTGTTCTATAACATGCCAGTGGAAGCACCCGGGGCCAGAGCTTCTGCCTCGGTGGGTGGGTAGGGAGGGTGGGTTCTGGCGTGCGGGGGACTTCTGGATGCTTCTGGTGATTGGTGAGGGTTGGGAACCACTGGCACTGGGACCAGGTGGTGAGTTGCCTTTAAGATACCATTAGCTGATTGGAAATTCTCAGGCCAGACGGCTGCCCCAGGACTGAGGCAGGAGCGAGGAGGACTGGAGCTCTAGACCTCCCTCCCTCTGCCTTTAGCAGCCCCATGGCGTCCACTGAACAGTTGTGCTCTCCTGAGCCTCCCTCGCCTTTCCTCCCTCTGGTAGGGGGACAGCAGCCAGCCCTGACCACAGGGGTCGTAGGGATGAAACGGGAGCCGTGGCCCTCAACCCAGGCCCTCAGCCCACACTGCTGTGCTTCTCGTGGCTGTGCCGACCACGCACAGGACTTGAGATGCCATGGCAGGACCACGGAGTCGACAGTCAGAGTGAGAGCCCTGGACGGCAGCTCCCGTGGGCTCAGGTTGCGTAGTTAGAAGATGGCTTATTCTCACAGGGAGGGAACCCAGGTCTCCTGACTGTGCCAAGCTGGAGCCAGCCTCAGAGGCATGGGGAGTGGGTCAAGACAATCAGCTGGGACCCCGCGGGAGCTCTGGGGTAGAGCCAGAAGGTGTGCATTTCTCACAAGCCCCCAGATGGTAGGTGGTGCTGGGCCAGGCCTTGCACCAGTGGACAGCCTCTTCCTCTACAGCAGCAGTCCCTGCCCCAAGTCAGGAGATGCCCAGTTGCTAACAGCTCCGTGGGCTAAGAGCCAGATGCATCAAGCATTTGTATTTATCAGGAGTTTGTAGAGGAGTGAAAGGAGCCTGTGGCTTTCTATCATGGGCTCTACCGTCTGTGGCTTTGTAATCTGGTGTCCTCATGGTGTGGCTCGTGCCTGGGTATCAGAGCCCAGCTGAGCGTCGACTCTGTGGTCCTGCCATGGTGTCTGCACTCCTCCACTTGCGGGCACACCTGTGTCTGCCCTAGATGACCGCAGGTAGGGCTGCCCTCCCTTACCTTCTTGAGCAGGGCCACCATGCCCTTGCACCACGTGGAGGAGTAGTGGACACGCTCCACCTTGAACATGCTGAGGATCTCATCAATGGGTGTGGCCGAGTGGATCTCATATGGCCTCTGAAACCAAAGGACAACAGCCAGGTCAGACGAGAGCCCTGGAAGGCAGCACCCGTGGGCTCAGATTGCGTAGTTAGAAGATGGCTTATTCTCTCTTTCAGGAAATGGTGGGTGTTCATCTTTCA